CTGTCTCATATCTAGGAACTCCCTGGCCAGCTGCTGAAGCTCGACAGCCGGCGCAAACTCTGCCCTGAACCTGGTCACGAAGTCCGACCAGGTCATAGCCTCGACAGCCGAGGCTCCCAACGAGTCACCAACGGATTCCCACCAATCCCTAGCTCGATCTCTCAAACATCCTGCTGCAAATCTCACCTTCGACCCCTCGGGGCAGAAGCTAGTCAACTGTGCAGACTCAATGTCTGCAATCCATCGCCTGGCAGCTATGGGGTCCTTCGCCCCGTGAAAATCCGGCGCACCACTGCCCCGGAAGTCCTTGAAGGACAGTGTGCGAGATCCTGACTGGCCAGATGCCATGTCGCTCCTGAATGCCCTGAGGCGATCCTCCATCAACTCCACTATCCCTTCCTTGATCGACCCGAAGATAATGGGAGTCGAATCAAGGATGCCTCTGGTGATCTCTGACGCGATGAACTCGCGTAGCCTCTCGTCTATTGGCTCGGAACCTGATCCCGAACCCGATCCCTCTCCTGAACTGCCAACTGCTGGCCTCGAGCGTAGTACCACCATTCTGCAATACATAACGACAACTGTCAGTGGTACTGATACATCTAAAGGGATCACGTCTACTGCAAGGTTCCTGGTCTCGCCTCAGCCTCCCTTAATTCAAGTACGGATCCTCTGCTTTCAGTAGTACGGGCCCATACTACCTTCCACATCTATCCGTACTTTCCTCAAGAACTGCCTCGACTCCACCAAGTCCCTACTACTACTGTTGATCTCATGCTAATCTCATCCTAGGCTCGCCCTAGGAAGTCGCCAACCCACTCTCCGCCCTCAGCTGCATAAGAAGTCCCTGCTTTCTTCCCCTAACTAGCTTGCGAATACTATTACATATTACTCAGACTAGATAATTCTTCGAATGAGGGATCCTACCCTACAACGGTTGGACTCAAACAAGAGCTGCGAAATAGGGCTAGACCCAACCCTCTGAAATTATTTAGTCCTTGCAATATGTATATTAACATATTCGTTTACTAGTTAGTGAAAGACAACTAGAACTCCTAAAAGCACATAGCAAGCAGCATTCGGACATTGAGTACACATAATCAAGTATGTACTACTCTGGCTATCATATCGACTGATCTGTACTAGCATACACTGCTAAGCTCATACTATCAGGCATAACCTAAACAGGCTATCCTACTACTGTCTACTCGGTACTAGCATGCAATTCTCATAAAGCTGGAACACATAAAGCAGGCACATAAGGCATCATTCCTAGATCCTTAGTCCTATTCTAGCATGTTGTTCTACTGAAACTGAAACTGATAATCATAACATAAACTTGTATGGGTACTTTGGGGAAAACTTACTTGAGCTCGGCCGGTCGCGCACATCACACACCTCGTTCTTTCTCGAAACTCTTTTACCCAGTCTTTAGAAAATCGTTTCTTTATAAAAATCTTTTAATCCCTCGATTTGAGTCCAGACATCCCCCGAAGGTGTGTCCGAATCCCTCAAACCAGGGCTCTGATACCAACTTGTAACATCCCAAAATACGAGCCAAAAAAATTTCATTTTTGAAACATATACTTAGCAAACATTAGAAATAAAACATTCACTGATCATATCATTTCATAAAAATGTCGCGTGTCCGGAAACCATTTTATAAAAACATAATAATGTCAGAGTACAAATCCCAGAATAACTCATGATGCGGAAATCAATGTGTGTGTATGATGTGCCGCTACCGCGCCAGCTCTTTCCCCTTCGACGAAGAGGTACCTGAAAACAAAACTATAAACTGTAAGCACAAAGCTTAGTGAGTTCCCCCATCATACCACCTACCATACAGTTACATAACATACATATATTGTCCGGCATATCTGGGTGCCCGACCTACCCCTTCGGTCCTCCCGACCGGATACTGTCTAGCATATCTGGGAGCTGGCCCCCCCCTTCGGTCCTCTCGACCGGGTTCTGACTAGCATATCTGGGTGCTGGTCTCCCCTTCGGTCCTCTCGACCGGGTACTGTCTAACATATCTGGGAGCTGGCCTCCCCTTCGGTCCTCTCGACCGGGTACTGACTAGCATATCTGGGTGCTGGTCTCCCCTTCGGTCCTCTCGACCGGGTACTGGGGACTATTTCACCCCCTTACTACTACCACATAACACATTTATCACATAATCTATCTAGCATGGCTGGGCACGACCGCCCCTTCGACCCTATTGGCCGGTAATCTGGGGACTATCTCCCCCTACAGTCACTAGTACATAGCATCATGTCATTTTAGCACATAAACATATCACAGGTAGTAACAACCCTAGATGAATATCACAGAGACAATCATCTATCATGCAACTCCTACTGGTGGGCCGGCATTGTGGCCGTAGACCCACCGCTACTGGAAGGTAACTCACCTCAAAGTGGCTGCTAATCTGCGTGGGAACTGACTGACTTCTGCTGCTGCTGCTCCGGAAATCCTCCGGCTATAATTCCCACAAAAACACTCAGTCAAATACTGCTAACCGCCCTCAGGGTAAAATGACCATTTACCCCTAACTAAACCAAGAGTCAAAATCAAAGTCAACTTCCAGTTGACCCGACTCGCCGAGTTGGCTTGCCAACTCGCCGAGTCCCTATCCACTCGATTGACCATAATCTCGTCTCTACTCGTCGAGTTAGGCATTGACTCGACGAGTTCCCTTCTAAACCGATGACCACTAGTCCTTCATCCTACTCGCCGAGTTGTATGAACAACTCGCCGAGTCTGTTCTTGAGGCTCGCCGAGTCAGGGCATTGACTCGCCGAGTTCCTCCATGAGTGAGTCTGGCTTCCGACTCACTGAGTCACCCCCCCCCATGACTCACGACTCCACTCAGCAACACGAAAAGGGGAAAACTCGAGGACTCGCGACTCGACTCGCCGAGTCCGATGAACGACTCGCCGAGTCGGCCACATGCCACTAATATATACTCGATTTTGCTTGGATCCAGCTCATTCCATACGTAGATCTAGGTTCCTAGGGCTTGATTAACACGTAAAGTTTCCAACTTTACGTGTAAATAAACACCAATGAAGGTTTTAGGGCTCAAAATGCACTAAAAGAGTAGATCTAGGGCTTTCATGCAATATGGCTTCATAAAGGCAGTGGATCCGAGCTCCTAGAGCTCAATCATGCCTAGATCTAAAGGTTGATCGGCTTATCACAGACCCTAGTTCATACCCAAGCTTGGAAATGGCTCAAGAAGGACTTTAATGGAGCTCTAAGGGACTATAAGCATGAGAACAGAGGGAAACTGAGTTATACCTCAAGGAAATCTCTGAAATAACACCAAGATGCCTGGCCTCCTTCCTCTCCTCTTGATCTACTCTCCTTTCTCTCTCAAAGTCTTCAAGAAATCACACCAAGCACTTCAATTTCACAAGGAACGATGTTAGAACGATATAGGGGGCTCTGAGGGTGAATGGGGGCGAGCTTGGGGCGCATAAGGTTGGTTTAAATAGGGTGAAAACCCTTGGAATTAGGGTTTCACCAGATAGCGGGGACTCGCCGAGTCCAGAATATGGACTCGCCGAGTCGCCAACTTAAACGTGTTCCATGTCCCGGCTCTACTCGGCGAGTCGGGCCTACAACTCGCCGAGTCCAAGGCTAAAAATGCAAAATACTTAGATAAATTTACATACCAGGAACCAGGTGCTACATGATGGGAGGGAGATTACTACAGCAATTTGTAGTAGATATCTACATCAAGCTTGAGACTTCACGTTTGGATTTTTGTAGAAAAAACCAGTCCAAAATAAGAGCAGATTTATACCAGGGTGTTGTGGACTGTGTTAATGCCGGTTAGGTTCGATCAAATATGATAGGGCAGCGTGTTGTGTTGCCTGCAAGTTTCATCGGAGGCCCCCGTGACATGCGCCGAAGATTTCTTGACGCCATGACTTTAGTTCAAGATGACGGGAAGCCTGACATCTTCCTTACAATGACATGCAATCCAAACTGACCGAAAATAAAAAAAAATGAGCTACTCCCTTGGCAGACGTCTCAAGATCGATCGGACCTTGTGTCAAGAGTTTTCTGTGCTAAGTTAGAGGATCTTAAGAAATAACTCTTCACAAATCACGTCCTCGGCGTGGTGGGTTCATACGTTTATGTCATTGAGTTTCAAAAACGTGGTTTTCCGCATGCACATTTCCTCCTGATAATGAAACCTCCATACAAGCTTACTAATGCTGACCATTACGACAAAATAGTATGTGCTGAAATTGCAGACCCAAAAAAGTATCCTGAAATGCACGAATTAGTCGTCTCACACATGATCCGTGGTCCTTGCGGTGGCTTAAACTCTGACTCTCCTTGTATGAATAATGAGTAAAAGAAATGTCGTTTTAGATACCCTCGGCAATTCAATGAAACCACGTTACAAGGAAAGGACTCATATCCTGTTTACCGAAGGAGATATAATGGTATAGAGGTGGACGTACGGGGCAATAAGATGGATAACAGATGGGTTGTCCCATATAACCCAAAGTTGTTAATGATTTTTAATTGTCATTTGAATATTGAGGTATGCTCGAGTATAACCTCTGTGAAATATGTGTTTAAGTATATTTACAAGGGTCATGACAAACAAGTTATCAATATTGATCCGGATGGACAACCTGTCGCTATTAATGAGATAAAATGGTTTCAGGATGCACGATATGTCTCACCTCCAGAGGCCATGTGGATGATTTTTAGCTTCCCTCTTTCTCAGATCCACCATTTTGTGATGGCTTTGCAGGTGCATCTCCCAAATCAGCAGATGGTTAGGTTCAATGAGGATGATACACTGACTAGTGTTGTTGAGAAGGAGAAAGATAGGAGATCAATGTTGACTGCTTTTTTTCTTAAAAAATAAAGAAGATATCAGTGCGAGAGAGTATAAATATAGAGATTTTCCAAAAAAAATTATGTGGGATCCGAGCTCACGTCGTTGGAATCATTGAAAACAAGGATTAATGCGAGGTCATATGGTTTCTGCCAATCCCGCTGAAGGGGAGCGATACTACCTTCGCCTACTTTTATTGCATATTAATGGGCCTACGTGTTTTGAAGATCTCTACACAGTCAACAATGTACAACACCCAACATTTCGGAAAGCAGCTCTTGAAAGAGGGTTAATAGAGTCTGATGATGGTTTATCACAATGTCTTACAGAGGCATATTTATTTCAAGCTCCCAATGCTCTTAGAAGGTTGTTTGCAACGATATTGACTTTTTGTGAGCCAGAAGATGTTCGTAAGTTATGGGATGACCACTACAATGCTCTTTTAGAAGATTATAGGCGACAATATGGAAGTGTTGATAGAGTCCAAAATATGGTCCTCGCCGACATCAAGGTATTCCTACAATCTATGAGTGACAATATTGATGGTTTTGATCTACCAAAGATAAATGAAAATGTCGATTTAGAATCTGGAGTTTTTCGTGAGGTACAAGAGGAATGCTCTATTGTTTTAGAATCGGAACATTTACAAGCCCAAGATTTTCTTAACCCTGAACAAAAATTTGTGTATGATGATAATGCGGCATGTCCATAGTAATATTCCAGCACTTTTCTTCATAGACGGTCCCGGTGGAACAGGAAAAACATTTTTGTACAAAGCTTTACTTGCTAATATTCGTTCATGTGGTCATATTGCACTGGCGACCGCTTCATCGGGTGTTGCGGCTAATAACATGTCGGGGGGGGGGGGGGGGGAACAACTCACTCTCGCTTTAAACTTCCTATTAATCTTGAAAATAACTTGGTCTGCAAGATTTCAAGACAAAGTGGTACTGTTCAACTGCTTTGGACTGCAAAAGTAATCATATGGGATGAAGCGTCGATGGCTAAAAGACATGTGTTGGAGGCGATGTACCGAACAATGAAAGATATCACTGGGGTGATGCTCCTATTGATAGGTTTTATACAAACAATCCTATGTGTGCATGAAACCCTAATTGGATCTATGTTTTCACTATAAGACATACAACTATATGAACACAAAATAAACCCTAGCATGCTTCTATAATTTTCGAAAATCATATAGAAGTGTAGAAGACATACCTTTGTTGTTATATTGCAATAACAACTAGTTTCCTTGATCTCTTGAACTCTTGAAAGCAAGCACCACAATTGTAGTGCCTCTAATGGCTCACAAACACCTTGAAGCAAGAAGGCAATTAAGAGAGAGAGGGGAAGGATGCTAATTTCGGCCCTAGGGTTTCCCTTGGAATCAAGTGGCCTAAAATTGAAGCATAGGGCATCTATTTATACTGTAGGGTGCTAGGGTTTCAGTCTAAACCCTAATGGATAGCTTAGCCACCAAGCAGCCCAAGGAACCTTCTGGAATGAGGCCCTTGGACGAAAATATGATGATCCCTCATCATAATTTCGTTCCCCCTTAGTCCATAAGGTTTCCCAGCCCAAAACTCAACTATCACACATTTGACAGTTTATACCCCTTTATTTAATTAATCTCTTTTAGTCACCAAATTAATTCCTAATTAATTTATGACTAATACTAATTAAATAAATATGATTTCTCCTTTAATATATTATTCTTATAATATATTAATAAACCATAATATCTTCTCTCTCATATCAAATTACCTTGTCAAGTTGCTTTGGTGAAGGCAACCCAAAAGGACCATGCACACTCGGGTCAAGTACATACCAAATATAGTTACGGACTTAGACACTAATCCAACAGTCTCCCACTTGGATAAGTCTAGTAACCACATCTCACATATGACTTCCGTATCCGATTAGCAATCGTAGCTTTCAATAGCCGCTGTCAACTCTGACCAATAATCTGTCCTTCAGATAAGGGATCGTATAATCCTCTGTTCTAGATATCATGCTAACAATACTTATTGTTTAGCATTTTATTTCTTGATCTCTGATTTGTTCGACATAGAACTCAGTTGAACACATCAACTTCATCCTGATCGGGCCCGGCACATAAGTCAAACCAAATCATCAAGTGGCCAAGATATCGCTTTTATTCTCATAGAATAAAAGGAACAGAAAAACGTCGACTAATATGCCTTTATCATTTACTAGTTAAACCACACACAATAATGCGTTTTATAACATCAAGTTACTGATGCGTTTTTGCATTATCAATGTATAATCAACTAGCAACCAATAACCATATCTCTAGGTTTAAAGATTATATGATATTATCATCTTGCGATCACTTGTGATAACATTCATGAAGTGATACCAGCAAGTGTGGGTCTATTCCAATGCTCAATACAAATTTCATAAGCACTCATAAACTTTGCAGCAAACCTTTGCTATGTCTAAAACTTTTCAGACAATCTACAAACAAATTTATGACAATCTTCCTTCATATCTACTTCCAACATATGAACGATTGTGGACTGTTCGAATAATCTTATTATTCAGGAAGTCAAAACATGCAAAATTGAAACAATAGATAAATAATCAACACAAGATAGAAGCTTTCTTATAAATAACACACCTTTATTTAATCATCAAATGTTGAATACATGATCATCCATTACAAGTTTCCTACCTATCTAATCTAAACTAATATCGTCCTTCAGCCCTACGCTCCTAGCGTGCTGCAAATGTTTAACCCTACTCAGTCCCTTTGTGAGGGGATCTGCTGGGTTATCTTCTGACGATACCCTCTTCACAACGAGGAGTCCCTCTTCTACCCGATGTCTAATAAAATGGTATTTCCTGTCGATATGTCGAGATCTGCCATGATCCCTTGGTTCCTTGGTTAAGGCAACCGCTCCTTCATTATCACAGAAAATTTCCATGGGATCCTTTATGGATGGCACAACTCCAAGGTCTCCAATGAAGTTCTTCAACCATATAGCCTCCTTTGACGCCTCGCTTGCCGCAATGTACTCTGATTCGCACGTTGAATCAGCTACGGTTTCTTGCTTGGAACTTTTCCAAGTCACTGCTCCTCCATTCAGGGTAAAGACCCAGCCCGACTGCGATCGGTAATTATCCCGATCTGTCTGGAAACTAGCGTCACTGTACCCTCGCACCCTTAAGTCATCACTCCCACCCAGGACTAGAAACCATTCCTTAGTCCTTCGTAGGTACTTAAGAATATTCTTGACAGCAATCCAATGTGCCCTACCAGGATTCCCTTGATATCTGCTGACCATGCTCAAAGCGAAAGCCACATCAGGGCGAGTACAGGTCATAGCGTACATAATTGAGCCAACTGCGGAAGCGTAAGGTACTCGGCTCATATCAGCTATTTCTGCCTCTGTACTCGGGCTCTGAGTCTTACTCAGTTTGGTATTGCATTGGATTGGTAACTCCCCTTTCTTGGAATTTTCCATACTAAAACGTTTTAGTACCCTTTCCAAGTATGTATCCTGACTGAGTCCTATCAGTCTCTTACTTCTGTCTCTCACTATCCTTATTCCCAGAATATATGCAGCCTCTCCGAGGTCCTTCATAGCGAAACACTTCCCAAGCCAGGACTTGACCTCCTGCAATGTTGGGATGTCGTTTCCTATGAGTAGTATGTCATCGACATACAATACGAGGAAGTTCACTATACTCCCACTGGCCTTGACATATACACATGACTCATCTTCATTTCGCAGAAAACCAAACTCTTTGACCTTCTCGTCAAAACAAAGATTCCATCTGCGAGACGCTTGCTTTAATCCATAAATGGATTTCTCAAGCTTGCACACTCTATTTGGATGCTTTGCATCGACAAAACCCTCTGGCTGATTCATGTAAACATCCTCAGCCAACTTCCCATTTAGGAAAGCGGTTTTTACATCCATCTGCCAAATTTCATAATCATGAAACGCAGTTATCGCAAGCATTACCCTAATAGACTTTATTTTCGCAACTGGTGAGAAGGTCTCATCATAGTCAACTCCAGGAGTTTGAGTAAAGCCCTTCGCGACCAATCGCGCTTTATAAGTGTGCACTTTCCCATCCATGTCTGTCTTCTTCTTGAAGATCCACTTGCACCCGACCGTCTTACGACCTGGCACATTGTCAACCAAATTCCAAACTTGGTTGTCATACATGGACTGAATCTCGCTATCCATTGCCTCTTTCCATTTAACAGACTTTGGGCCTGCCATGGCTTCCTTGTAGCTGTTAGGTTCGTCCAAATTTACTAGTGTACTATCACTAATAAACGTATCCCCGTCAGTAGTAATATGGAAACCATAAAACTGGGGTGGAACAACAACTCTACTTGAACGTCTAAGAGGTAAGGACTGGTCAATAGGTTCAACAGGAGTTTCCTCCTCAGGTTGCATGCCAGTGTCAGAGGTTCCTTCTTCTCCTGACTCTTGAAGCTCTTCAAGGTCAATCTGACTCCCACTGTCTCCTTGGCTTATGAGTTCTCTTTCTCTGAAAACCCCTCTCCTAGCAACAAAGACAACATTGTCATTTGGTCTATAGAAGAGATAACCAAAAGACTTCTGTGGATAGCCGATGAAATAACACTTCTCACTACGAGGTTCTAGCTTGTCGTGAGTCTCTCGTCTTACGAAAGCTTCACAACCCCAAACCTTGATATGTGCTAACGAGGGAGCTTTCCCTGTCCACATCTCGTGAGGTGTTTTGGTAACCTTCTTGGTGGGAACTAAGTTAAGGATATGGGCGGCAGTCTCCAAGGCATACCCCCAGAATGAGATTGGTAACGAAGCACGACTCATCATAGAGCGAACCATGTCCAACAAGGTTCGATTACGTCTCTCAGCCACACCATTCAATTGTGGCGTTCTAGGAGGCGTCAATTGTGAAACTATTCCACACTCTTTCAGATAGTCGTGAAACTCAAGACTTAGGTACTCTCCCCCTCGATCAGATCGAAGCATCTTGATTTTCCTGCCCAACTGATTCTCTACTTCATTCTTGAACTCTTTAAACTTTTCAAAGGTTTCTGACTTTTGCTTGATTAAGTAGATATATCCATATCTGCTATAATCGTCTGTAAAAGTCACGTAGAAGCGACAAGCGTCCCTTGTGGTGGATCTAAAGGGTCCACATACATCTGTGTGTATGAGATCCAATACACCCTCACCCCTTTCACATGTGCCAGTAAAGGGTGACTTGGTCATCTTCCCAAGTAAACAAGACTCACACACGTCATCGTCCCTAAGGTCGAAAGACTCCAAGACTCCATCCTTTTGGAGTTGGGCTATGCGTTTCTTGTTCACATGGCCAAGGCGACAATGCCACAAGCATGCTTTGTCCAAACTTGTGGACGAATCAATATTCAAAACATCATTTCCTAAACTGTCAATCACTAACACAGATTCATAAATCCCATTACAAGGTAATGCATTGAAATAAAAGACACCATTCAAATAAGCATTAATAGAACCATTACTATTATCAAATGAATATCTGAAACCTTGTCTAAACAAACCATGAAAAGAAATGATGTTTCTTGCCATATCTGGCGAATAGCAACAATTATTTAAATCTAGCCCTAACCCATTACTCAACACTAAGGAATAAACTCCGATCTTGGTTACTGGTGAAGACTTCTTGTTTCCCATGATCAAGCTTATCCTTCCATGC